AAATTACTATTTTTTTTTTTTTTTTGATTTTATGCGGTTTGAAGAAGCTTCTCTTTTCTTTCCCTTACGCGTAAAAAAATAGTGTGCTGATCGCTTTAATTAATAAAACGTTCGTTGAATATGGTATAAAGTTTTTCAAAATTTTTGTAAAAATGTAAGCAGCATATATATGTATATGTACACGTTAAATTAGCGTTTTATATTTCTCTTTGTAATATAAAAACTTCAAAGAATTTGATTTCGATGAATTTTTCTCCCTTTTTCACTTTGCACAGATGCCCATAACCTATCTTCTCATTTCGTTCGTGCTTCCTCTGCCATTCTCCTTTATTTCTTATCCCAATTTCGCGTAGCTTGTTCTACTACATCAACAACTCGACGTATTCCCCGAATCGAATCTTTCTTCGCGAACATTTAAAATATCGACAACAAATTCGATTTTTTATAAATTCAACTTTCGGAAAATTCGCGTTTCATTTTATCGAATTTCACGAGAAATAACATATATTCGAGACGATGGAAACACAGGAATTACGTAGAAAGAAACAAGAAAAGAAAAATTTAATTTCTCTTAATTCTTCCTTTCGTACACTTGGTGAAATTCAGCGGCGGATAAAAATCGAGTCGAAGTCACTGTTTCGCTTGCATGTTTCTTCTCATCCTCCCTCTATATATATATATATATATATACGTATATATATACACACATATATAATGAAACGAAAAGTATCGAGCCTCGAAATTATACGATGACGATGATCTTACGTTTCGTTCGGTGCGCGTTTAAACGCATACCACACCACACACACACACACACACACACACACACACCACATTCAGACAATTCAGGCAATTTATTGATATGTATCGTTATTATTTTTTTTTTCTTCAGCATTATTGCTCAACGTACCGCTACGTTTTATTATTAAATATAATATAGATTCCCCTTCTTTCACACGCTGTTTTACACGTTTATACTCTACCCACCACCTCCCCGCGAAGGGAATCAATATCAAATACTTTACTCCGCTCGACAAGTGGCGACAATGGTCCGTGGGAATAATAATCAAGCGTGGGAAGAAGGAAAAAGAATTTCGAGAATCGTCGATTCTCGTTCGATTAATTCGTTGGACGCGATATTGTACTTGCTCGAGGAATCGACGATCCCTTTTTTCCCTTTTCTTTCTTCCTCCTCCTCTCTCTGAATGATTTTTTTTTTTTTTTAATTCGAATAAAATTCAAATATCAAAAAAGTCGCGACTGTAACAAGTAACGTGTTTCAGAATTTAGTGTAAGTGACATAGTTTTTTTGGAACTTTTAAATTCTCTCGAGTCAAGAAATATCATACGTTGTTTTTTTTTTTTTCTTACACGATTTTTCTTACGATTGGAGGAGAATAAATTTTTTTACACGCGTTAAATTTATGGGGTGAGTTTCGTATTATATTTGTTATAATTAATGTTTAAAAAAAATAATAGATATTTTTATATTCTTCAATTCTGCAAATTATTGATGTAACTTCATTTTCTATCGAATTATACGATTCTCACCCCATTCGTACATTTATACGCAATAATATTTTTCCTACTTGCTCTTTCCCTCGGTTAAATATATCGCGACGTAAAACATGGATTCTCTTTCATCTCGTCGGATTGTCAATAAAATTGTCCACGATATTATAAAATAAATCTATCGCTCGACGATCGAAGCGTAGCATCGATGTATTTGATCGTCGTACTTAAACGTGATACGGTTTCCTTTGGAATAAAGAAAGAAATCTTGTATTGCACGAACTTTCTTCGCGTAATACACGCATATATACATATATGTATGTTCGTACAAAAACGTTCTTTCTTTTTTTCTGCGAGTAATACTTTCTTTGGAAAAATTCGTTTGGATGGATGTGCGTCTGTATGTGTGTGTATCAGTTGGTGTACGTACGTAAATCATTTTTAAGAAAAAAAAAAAAAAAAATGAATGTTTTGTTTGCCAGTCGGGTAGGAATATTCCTTGCGTTTCTAAAGTAAAATATTTGATATCTCGTCATTACTCTGTCGACGACACTCGGCCCCGTCACGCCGTTCGTAGACAAAACGGAGGAGTTGTGTGTACACGATAAACAAGGTGTATGTACATACGTCGTTCATACCTTTTGATCACAGAAACATTATTCGAGGAGTCGATTACACTCCTGTCATCCATAGATACACTTCTGCGCAAATAGATTCTTATGTAATCGAATAATTTCTAATCTGTTTGTCCCAA